TCTTTGAGACTGTGACACTTTTAAAGAGTACTGTTCAGTTGTTTTTTGGAAAGTTCCTTAGTTTGGGTTTGATTTTTTTTTTTTAAGATATTTATTTATTTATTTGACAGAGATCACAAGTAGGCAGAGAGGCAGGCAGAGAGAGAGGAAGGGAAGCAGGCCTCTGGCTGAGCAGATAGCCCAGTGCAGGGCTCAATCCCAGGACCCCGGGATCATGACCAGAGCCGAAGGCAGAGAGGCTTTAACCACAGAGCCACCCAGGTGCCCCTGATTTTTTTTTTTAAGCAACCATAAGTTTTCATCCAAACGGAGACACTTACAAGTAAAAAGTTGCTCAATTCACAACTGCACAGAGACAGTGGGTGTAAAGCAGGTTAGCGGTGCCCCATGTCCCTGTATTTATATCACTCTCCTCAGTGCTCTTTGGGGTTCCCTCACTCCCTTTCTCCCTTGGAATAAACATGTGCCGAATATCCAGTGTTCTGTATGCTGTTGGTCATATCCTCATAGTGCCATTTAACATGTTCCTCCATCCCTCTAGTTCCAGTAAACTGGCCCCCTCAGTTCCAGTTTTTGGCCAGCTCCTCTTTAGCATCCACCCTCCTTGGCTCAGGGATTGCCACTCCTGATTCTGTCAATCTCCACAGTGAGATATATTCTCCCTTAAAAATTGGTTTTCCCAGAAGCCTGGGTGGCTCATTTGGTTACGCATCTGACTTTTGATTTCAGCTCTGGTCATGATCTTGGGGTTGTGGGATGGAGCCCCACATCGGACTCCACACTCTGTGGGGAGTCTGCTTAAGATTCTCTCTCTACCCATCTCGCTCTGCCCCTCCCCTTGCTTTTCCCTGTCTTTCATTTTGTGTCTCTCCATATACTTCCCTGAATGATCTTATTTAACTACCATCTATATGCTAATAATTTAAAAATCTCCACCTTCAGCCAGTACCTCTCTCTTGGGCTCCAGACCATATTCTACTGTGTAGGCTGGAAGATCTATCTAAAATTCCATCTGATTGGGTCACTTCCCTTTTTAACATCCTCCCCTTTGCCTTCATGGCCCAATCCAAATTCCTCACTATGAATTTGAGGCCCCTAATGACCCAGCCTCCACAGATTACCCCTGCATCATCTCGTACTTCCCTTCCTGTTCCACAGTTCCCTAATGCTGACATGGTCCCTGGGCTCTAGGCTCTGCCCTGTGTCCTAACTGCCCTTTCTCCCTTCCTCATCTGGATGAATCCATCCAGGAACCACCTTTGCTAAGAAGCCTTCCCAGCTGCCACAGCTGGATGAACTAAGTGTTTATCCCCAGAAATGGTGAGTCCTTGGATAGTAGATCTGTGTTTCATCTCTATCCTCATTGCCTGAAACATCACTCGCACTCAGATGTTGCTGAATAAATATTGAAGGTGACCGGAGATAGTATAAATTCCTTTTTCATCAAACTTTAAGTTAGGGCCTTATATGGACCTAAGGGTATGAAGGACAGGAAGCTATGCAGTCCAGACTCACCATCAGCAGCTCACCATCTACCAAACTCTTTCTCTCATGTTAGGGGACAAGGATGAATAAGAGTACAGCCCTGAATCTTCCCTCCCAGGGGAAAACATAGAAAAAGTGTAGCTTTGTTTCACAGGCACCAAGTGTTGTGAGGGCCTGGGGAAGAAAGAGAATGAATTTGGCTAAGGAAATTTGAAAACTCTTAATGATTTGAATTGGACCTTAAAATATGGCAAGATTTAATATTGGTTTTGGGGGGAGGGCATCTTGAGTAAAAGTTGAGCTGTAGCACATGCAAGGGGGCATTCCACTTTGGGATGACTGTAGGCTAGGATGTGTGAAGGAGGAGACCTTGAGGCAATGCTGGAAAGGAATGGAGTAGGGACCATGCTGCAGAGGCCTCTGAAGGCAAAGCAAAGAGTTTGGATTTGTCCTGACTTGTGTTCCCAGTGCTGTGCCTCTGCATACCACAGATGAGGGGTAAGAACAAGGCTTTACAGAGGAGGTTGAAAAAGTTGGAATGGTAGGGGTGGTCAACTTTATCAGTCCTTGCAAGGATAGAGCTCATTTGTTCCAAAAGCTCCTGATGGCAGATCTGAGGAAAAAGTAGTAATGAGAAGCCTAAAAAATATTTTTCAACCACTATTTTTGTGTTCATGTTGGAGGGAAGGATGAATAGACAAAATCAGTATAAATTTCAATGTTTTGGCTTCAGAGATGACTTACATTGTGTAGACAGTCCCCACCCCTCCCTGTTCCTGTTTGCACATAACAGATTTCTTAGCCTTCACCCTTGACTCTGCCCTTGCCTTATAGCAGTGAGAAGGGAGGTGAAGGTGTCTGTGCCTCAGCGTTCAACCACCAGTAGGGACGGCCAGGCCTGAGGCCTCCTAGCTCACCCTCCCCCTGTTGCTACTCCCATTCTTCTGGTCACCCCAACAGGAAGCTGTGGAATCACTGCTGACTTTTCCTCTGACCTTATCCCCCACATTCAGACAGTGGCCAAGTACTGCAGATGTCCCTCTTGGCTTTAGAATGCTCAAGTGGCAGGTTGGGCTGGGTCCTCTAGTTTAACTGTTGGCTCCTGGCCTCACTGGCCTCCTTTCTGCGTGCAGCAGGTGTTACCCAGCTCCCCCACCGCTATGCCTGGGTGGGCCCCCCAGCTCCGGGCTCTGGGGGGCATGGTCCCTGGCGTGTAGTTGGCAGTGAGTAAATTTGGTGCTGTGTGAAGATAAGAATTTCTAGACTCTTCCCCACCCAATCATGCTTCAGTCTACTAATGTCTAAAGATGTTGGATCCAAACAGAAAAAGAAATCCATGTACTTTCCTTACATATCTGGAACCCCCACCCTCATCCTGCCATTGAGAGTTAACACCTTCCTCTTGACATGAGCTCCTCAATAGAGAAGTCTCTTGGCCAATCAGTGTAACAACCTTGTCCCTCCCATGCTTGACGTCCATTCAGGCTTCTGCCTCCTACCCCTGAGATGCCCCCAGTTGGCTCCAGTAAGCACCGCTGGTCTGTCCACCTTTCAGCTCCTCTCTGCAAGAAATCCTCAGCTCTGTTGTTGGACACCCCACTGCTCGCTGACCTGTCCCTTACCTTTCCAAAGCCTCCTGCTCCCCACTACCCCATTAACTGGATGGTCTGAACATGCTTCTTAACTGGAAATTTTTTAACTTTATGAATGAACTTTAGTCATTATCAGGGGGGACATATAAGAAAACTAGTCAAGAGGGGTTTTCTGCTGAAGGATATAAAACTTGTGCAAGCCATAGAGGGTGAAGGCCAGCCTGGGCCACTGTCCCTCTCCATGGAGCCACACTCTGCTGTCCAGAAACCTGGATGAGAAACCATATACACCCCAAGTTCTTGGCTGTAAAGACCTCTAGGAACGCCTTATTTTTAAAAATTTATATCATGGGGCACCTGGGTGGCTCAGTGGGTTAAGGCCTCTGCCTTCAGCTCAGGTCATGATCCCGGTGTCCTGGGATCGAGCCCCACATCGGGCTCTCTGCTCTGCAGGGAGCCTGTTTCCACCTCTCTCTTTATCTGTCTGCCTCTCTGCCTACTTGTGATCTCTGTCAAATAAATAAAATCTTAAAAAAAATTTATATCATAAGCTCCCATTGGCACAGCAATTTTGGGGCCTTCTTGGGCTTGGCACATTGTGGGTCTACAAGTGTGTGTGTTGCTTGAGAGGCCAGAAGTCCTGACTTCTGGCTCTGAGAGTTTAGGGTCCCTAAGACTCAATTCCACAAGCAAGAGAAACATTCGTAAGAGGATTACACATGTTTTAAGTGGGGGAAATTTGTGGAAATGAGAATTCCCATTGCCATGGGAAATGGCAGTCCCATGAGGAATGGGGATCGTCCTTTCCTGTGCAAGGGGACATTACACAGGAGCCCTGTGTCTCCATGAGTGACCAAACACAGCTTTGACCTCTTGGCTCATTGCAGGGGATGGTGGCAGAGGGCAGAGTCCTGCCAGAATGTGCTTTTTTTCCCTTCCCAGGGAGCCATCCTGCCCAGCCAAGCCCTAGATTCCCCTGGCATTGTGGCAGTGGGCTGTTTTGTAGGTGTTGACATTGGTTCTTGGCATCTGACCAGAAAATAGAGAGCCTTGGAGGAGGGTGGAAGTGATCACATTTAAACCAGCATTAACTTCTCAAATGTCCCAGGCTGGCCAGCTTGCCCTCCCCAGCATGGCTTTGGCCCCTTCACAGAGGAGGGCACACAGACCCTGACAGACACAGGACCCGCCTTGTGACCTTCTGGACAGGTGTCTTGCAGCTGCCTTTGCTGATAGCCGTGTCAGAGGCCATGTGGCTGGTGCCTGCACTGTCTGGCACCTGGGTCAGCTAGCTTCTTGCAGAGGTGGCACCTTCCTGGGGAAGGGTGTGGGTGGTACCCTGGGACTGCAGAGCCTAGTGTCTGAAGGGGAGGCAGATCTGGGGCCTTAGGGACCAGGGCTCTGGGGCTCAGGGCTGTTGTTTCTTCGGGAAGCAGGGAGGGCGTCTCACATTCTGGTGGCCCTGTGGCCGCCTCTCTGTGTGCACGTGGCTCGCTTACCTGCTGCTCCAGATTACAGCCGCCTCTGCCAGGTTCTAACTCCAGGCTCTGAGCCTGCTTCATTGTACATCTCTTCACTTTGCCAGTGAATTTTGGTCATTAACGTGAATAGATACATTTTACTTTTCTGTGTATATTAGCACAGACTCTGGAAGCATTTTTAGGGAATGTACTAACAGTTATAAACTGTCTTCACCATTTAACATACAGCAAAGTCACATGGTGCGTCTAAGATTGGGATCTTGCATGGATGCTAACTGTGGGATGAACTGTCCGGTGCCACCTTTCTTCCTGCTCCATTAATCAATGATCTCAACACCTTCTGATCCCGGAAGCAGAAGTCCTGTTGGCTGCCCTCTCTCAGCGCACAGTGTGTTCCTGTTGCTGCAAAGCGTGAACTAAAGCCGTGCTCTCTTCCCCGCAGAATTTCCTATGACCCCGCCAGGTACCCGAAGTACCTGCCCGAGGCCTACTGCCTGTGCAGGGGCTGCCTGACCGGGCTGTTCGGCGAGGAGGACCTGCGTTTCCGGAGCGCCCCGGTGTACGTGCCCACTGTCATCCTGCGGCGGACCTCGGCGTGCGCGGGTGGCCGCTCGGTGTACACCGAGGAGTACGTCACCGTGCCGGTGGGCTGCACGTGCGTCCCCGAGCAGGAGAAGGAAGCGGACAGCATCAACTCCAGCATGGACAAGCAGGGCGCCAAGCTCCTGCTCAGCCCCAGCGACAAGCCGGGCCGGCCCTGAGGCCGCTGCTGCCCCTCTCCTGGAGCGCGAGCTGCTTCAGCCGCCTCCCCCAAGCGGACTCGAGGACCGAGAGGAGTAAATGAAACACAGCTGAACTGCAGAGGTCTTCCGACCTGACTGCTTGACGGCTTGCTCTCACACATCATCACCTGGTTTTCTTCTAGGCAAAGGCACGGGGTTGGTGAAGGCTGCCGGCAAGTTACCGGGTACATGACCGCAGGTAGGGAGCGTAGCGCCAGTGCCTTCCGCAGGTAGCCAGAGCTTGGTGTGTGGCGAAGTGGCTTCATGGCCCTCTCTCCGTGGCCCTCTCTCCGTGGCCCTCTCTCCGTGGCCCTCCCTCCGTGGTCCTCCCTCCGTAGTCCTCCCTCCATGGCCCTCTCTCCGTAGTCCTCTCTCCATAGTCCTCCCTGCCTCCCTCCCTCTCCATAGACCCTTCCCCCCCCCCCCCCCCCCCCAGCTACAGTGCTATGCTTTTGGGACGCTCTCAGAAGAGGTGCCAGCCTCCACAGATAGATGGTAGATGGGTGCTTCTAAAAGAAATCTTTTTTTTTTTAAGTAGAATATATACCTACTTTTTTTTGTTCAATGTTTTCAATGATGCGGAAACTATTTTTATATTAGGAATTTTGCGTATATTAAAAATTTTTTACTTGACATATAAGTATTTTATAACCATTCTGTTCTCCCTTCCTCCTCTGGCAAGATTTTTTAGAAGCACAACTGGAATCCTCAGATAAACTTTTTAGCGGGTACTGGGGCCTGAGTCCCTGAATTCAGCCTATCACCAGTTGCTGACCATAACAAAACAAGATTGAATGTGACCTTCAGTGAAGATCTTTACAGGCTGCTACATGAGTAAAATGGAAGCGCAGGAGGCTTAGCTCACCCCAGACTGGCCAGGGATTCCAGAAACCTCAAATGTGGTTTGTTCATGACTCTATAAAGGGCCACAGATGTATATAATTAAACATTTTTTTCACTTTTGAAATTAAGTGGGGCCAAATAAGAGGTGGTGGGATAAGGCTAGAGGTGGAATGTGCTATCTTTGCCAATTCTCAGAAGAGTCCAAGTTTCAGCTTAGTTTTAAGGGATTCAAGCCACATATGAGAAGCCGGCCAGCTTACCATGTCCAGAAATCAGTATCGGGGGCCTCTTTATCTACATCCCACAATGCGAGCTAAAACCATACTCCCTTCTGTAGGCTGAAAGTTTGTCCATGAACACAATTATTTGTAAAAGTGAGAAGTTCTTTTTAAACCATTAAAGCAATTGTAGGTGAAGGGCACGTTGGCCGTGTGCATTACTCTCTGGACTCGGCTTTGATGGACTCGACTTATTTTTAGAGGAAACTATTTTAGTCTTCACTTTATCTTAATTTTATGGTTGAAGTTTAAATTAAGATCTGATTTGGTCTTTGAAAGATCAACTACTCCTGTAAGTCAGTGTCTCTTCTTTTGTGTGACACCCCAACCAACCCAAGAAGTGTCCCTTTTTTATATGTTTTGGTATTTTTTTAAAGATTTTTTTAAAATTGAGGGGTGCCTGTGTGACTCAGTCATTAAGTGTCTGCCTTTGGCTCAGGTCATGATCCCAGGGTCCTGGGATCAAGCCCCGCATCAGTCTCCCTGCTCAGTGGAGAGCCTGCTTCTCCTTCTCTCTCTGCTGCTCCCCGCTGCTTGTGGTCTCTCTCAATCTGTCTCTTACTGACAAATAAATAAATCTTAAAAAAAAAAAAAGATTTTTAAAAATTTGTCAGCATGTGCATAAGCAGGGGGACCAGCAGGCAGAGGGAGAAGCAGGCTCCCTGCAGAACAAGGAGTCCAATGCAGGACTCGATCCCAGGACCCCAGGATTATGACCCCAGCCAAAGGCAGATGCCTAGCTGACTGAACCACCGAGGCTACCCTATTTATATGTATTTCACTTTTAAACTTCAGCTCTCAATAACAGGGCTTTAGCTCCCTAGTTACAAAGTATCAACCTTATTTTGATCTAGATGGAGGGTTCACTGAGAAAACTTTCAACTTATACTGACGGAAGTTTGTACGTGAAAAATACATTATTGAGCCAAATCCAGAATTTTCCAAAAATTCAGAAATTCAGAATTGAAAGTGCTAGTTATGTAAATATATAGTTCTGTACTATCTGAGAAATTTTACTTCTGCATTCAACCTCTGGGGGAGTGGTGTGGGTGGGGGAAAAAAGATATCCTTAGCGGTAGATCTGGAATACATTCCTGTCCAGAGCAATCTTTCATTGCTAGCTCAAAAATAACATCAAATCCATAAATTAAAAAGAAAAACTGCTGTTAAACCAGTGGCTTGGGTGATTGTTCCAGTCATCGCCACTGTTGGGTAATATTTTCCAGCTACTCCTCAAATACTAATAGTGCAAACATCACAGAAGACTAAACTTAAGGAGAGTAGATATTTGGGGAAACTACCACTGTTTTATTATTTAATGAATTAGATTGTGAAAGGCTAGCACATTCCCTGCGGAAGAAATTTAGCTTTCCATTCTACAGAACCAGACAGGCAGCCTTTCTTTGTGTTTTTTCTCTGAATGGAATATTCATGCACTTAATATGTATCGAGCACTTGCCCTGTTCCAGGCACCAAGCCCCTGGGAATCACATGTGAAGCAGGCACAGTCTCCATCCTCAGCCAAAAGCAGCCCCTGCACTGGCTGGTGAGCAGTCAGGCACTGGCAGGCCGCTCCTCACAAGTGCTGCCCAGTGAATCGGAGCCGCATTTTCCTCACTTATACATGTGCTGTGCCTGGCACATAGGAGGTAGGAGAACATATTGGCCTCAGTGATTTATAAGCTACATTGAAAATAAATATCAAGCTATTCTTTCTTCATGTTTATTGCTTTGATCATCATAATGACTTTTTGTATAAAAGTTTAAAAAAATCGATCACTAGGGAGCAGCAACCAGATAGAATATGTTGGAGTGAATGTTAACGGGAATTAAAATAAAAACTTAAACAAGTATTTGTTGGAGGCAGAGGGTGGTGATATAGTCTGGGGAGATACAGTTTTAGGGAATAATAAGAGTTTATTGGGACAGAATTTTGTTCCCTTGTTAAACGAAAGGGGTGTTTTAGAGCTGAGAGAGGTAGTTATTATGTTTTATCAAACATTTGGGGAAATGTGCCGGCTACAGCAATTCTGCCCACCTACACCCCCCAAGGTGAGGATCAGCCCCTCCCATGCGGGTCTTAGTCACCCTACTCCCCAGCGCCCACAGTGAATGGAGTCGCGCCACACTGAGCAGACCATTTCAGTCCCAGGCTTCATGGAGCGGCACACTTTGCTAGTGGGACCTTCATGGCTTCTTCCCTCCTCTCCAAGAAGTGCCATGCTGCCAACATTTCCTTCAAGTAATTCTGTCTGGAGGGCTCTGAGGCGGCCCTGGGAATGGGCATACCTTGCTGGTTACTGAAGATTTTTCTCCAGCCAACTGACAATATGTCTACTGTATGTTTGTTTGATAAAAACAATCATTTGGGAATATCAACCAAAACACATCACAAATGCCAAGAGTTCCACATTCAGGGTCCAGTTACCCAAACTTCTTGTTTGCTGTAGGTCTCTTAGCAAGGCAAAGGGAAAAAGGGGTCATTGCTTAATCTGCTCTGATTTGAGAGAGGAATGGAAGAGCATGATGTTCCCATGGAAAATGGGATTTCCAACTGACTCTGGGATTTCATGTGTTCAGCTGTCAGGGCTCCCCATGACCCCCCAAACAACCCCACTAAGTCATTGTATGGACTTCTGAATTTTCAGCAACGTGGAAATTATTATCCCTTCTCTTTCCACTCATGCTGTGGTTATTTTGTGTCTCAGTGGAAATCTCTTCATTAGCAAGGACTTTAAAAAGGTGTCTCTTAGAATATTCTTTTGAGTTTTTGAAGTGGTTTGGTCGAGTGGAAGAGGTGAGGCTGCCTCCTAAGAAGTCAGGGAGTTCACGTCAAGCGCTCCATGCAGCACACACCTGCCTTCCCTGGGCCGGCTGGGTAGCCCTGCAGCCCTGACTCCTGTTCCTCAAGATTGCAGAGGCAGAGTGGCAGACCTTTTATGAGACCCAGAAGTGGATCACATGTGAACACAGGTTTGCTAAAATCACAAGGGGTCCAAAGTAATAAAACACATGTTGGCTGCTTATTATTATACAAACATTTAATGAGTTGAGCTTGGGCCTTCCCTCCCCCACCCTCCATGAAGAAATAAGGTTTCTCCTCATCTAAACACTAGACTTCTAGGATAACTACAATTCTGTGTTTCTAGGCTGCTACTTGCCCACAGTTCCTAAGTTACACATGACATTACCATACATGTTACTAAAATTTGTTACTGGCCTAAGTAATTTTTAGTGAACTGACTTCATGAAGAAATAATAAGGAAGGGGGTATTTTTTAAAGAACATTTATTGAATAATTCACATGTGCCAGGTGCTGATATATTGATAAAATATAAATGTCTCATAAAAATACCAAGTGATTTTTAAAGTAAATTGAAAATTATCCCAAAGTAGGACCATCGAGGGCTAAGAAAGAACAGACGGGAAGCAGGCTCCCCCTACCTCCATATCCTGAGCACAGGTGCCGGGGTACCAGACTCTCCAGGACAGGCTGGGTTTTCACTGCAGTAACCATCCCACGGTCTCTGATTTTCAAGAGCAGACTTCCTGCTCCCTCCCCACAGCCACTGCAGGCCCACCGTTCACTCAAGCACCTGGACAGCCAGAGAGCTTGTGTGTGGAAAATCATTGGCAGTCATGTCAGAAAATAAAAGCTCTGCTTGGCACTTCCTTTCATGTTTTGTTAGCAAAGCAAGTCATCCGAGGTAGGGAAGTGTTATCCCCCCCCCCCCCGCCACCTTTTTATGTTTTTATTTTGAAATGATTCTAGACTCACAGGAAATTGCAAGAGCACTACAGAGAGGTCTCGTTGTGTCTTTTACCCACTTGCCCACAATGAGAACATCTTTTTTTTTTTTTTTTGAAGATTTTATTTATTTGACAGAGCGATCACAAGTAGGCAGAGAGGCAGAGAGAGAGAAGCAGGCTCCCTGCTGAGCAAAGAGCCCGATGCGGGGCTCGATCCCAGGACACTGAGATCATGACCTGAGGCGAAGGCAGCAGCTTAATCCACTGAGCCACCCAGGCACCCCCAATGAGAACATCTTAACCAAGCACAGACTACCAGGAGCTGGACACCGCAAACCGCCCAAAGACCTCACTCAGAGTTCACACGTGTGTGCAAG